GGAAGGAAGGAAGGAAGGAAGGAAGGAAGGAAGGAGGGAGGGGAAGGGAAAAGAAAAAGAAAATCTATTGCAAGATCCAGGCTCTATTGAAAGTTCACAGACTTTTCTAGGCATTCTAAACTCTGAACTTCAAAAATAAAAGGCCAAGCTTGGAGGATTAAGTGGAGTTTTCACTTTCACTGAATAAGGAAGACTTCATGCTGACCAAATGGTGAGCTTGCACCCAGAGGGGTGAGAGTGACTGACAGGAAAAGGTTCAGAACAGGTGAGACTTGGTTGTGGATGCTAGTGAATACATCAGTCATCTCATGGAATATTAACCATGGCAAAGTGATAGAGTCCATCCCAAAATATTTGTGGGTATTCCTGCTACTGGTGCTGCACCTCCCTTTCTAAGGCACAGAAAACTGTTCTTTTCTTGGCTTGGTGGTAAAACACTGCAACAGATTTTCCCAAAGGGAAGAAAACAAACTGAAAGAATGTCTAGGATTCAGTTCAGTGCAGGGCAGAACACATGGCATCAGCCTCATTAAAACATCCTCTCTCTTTTTTCTAGAGACATCCTGGGCTTCACATGTCCCTTCTAAGAAATTCCAGAAACCAGTGTTCCCTAATTCTCAGTTCACAGTTCCCTCCATCTCATTGGCAGCCAAGCAATTTAAATTCTCCTTGTTTCACCTCAGCTATTCTCACACCGGCTCCATCTTTTTTCATAGCGATAACTTTTTTATGGTTTTTACTGGTGCATTGTAATTATACACAATTGTAATTATACACAATAGGGGAATTCATTATGACAAGTGCAAACACACACATAATTTGATCCATTTCATTCCCCAGTGCCTCCCTTTTCTCTCCCCTCCTCACTGTCCCTAACCCCCTTCCTTTATTCTCTTGGTCTCCCTTTTGTTTTCATGAGAGGGCTGCTTGTTCCTTTTTCTCTCTAGTTTCTGCATATGAGAGAAAACATTCCACCCTTGATTTTCTGAGTTTGGCTTATTTCACTTAGTATGATGCTCTCCATTTCCATCCTTTTACTGGCAAATGCCATAATTTCATTCTTTATGACTGAGTAAAACTCCATTGTGTATATATATCCCATTTTTTTTATCCATTCATCTGTTGTTGAACACCTACGCTGGTTCCATAACTTGGGTATTGTGAATCGTGCGGCTATAAACATGGTTATGCACGTATCACTATAGTGTGCTGATTTTAGTTCTTTTGGATAAATATTCTAAAGAGTGGGATTCCTTGTCTTTTAATGGCTGCCAAACATTCCTGCTACCGCTGTCATTGCAGCTGTTAAGAATACACAGCCACACATCCTCTCTGTGCAAGTGTTCTGTGGCTGAATCCAACTTAGCCCCACAGAGGGTAGAGAACTCTTGCTCGATCACTCAATTTCTGTTGTAAATATTTGCATCTGGGCTGGGTGTGGTAGTGCACTCCTGGAATTTCAGCAACTCAAGAGACAGAAGCAGGAGAATTGCAAGTTTGAGGCCAGCCTCAACAAATGAGTGAGACCCTGTCTCAAAAATAAATAAAATAAAAAATGACTGGGGATGTGACTCAGTGGTAGAACACCCTTGAGTTTAATGCCCAGTAAATAAATAAATAAATATTAGTATCTTTTAGGTCAGTAGTCAATTCTCCCCATGTTGCTTCCCATCTTCCCCAAGGGAGTCTAATTTCCAGGGGGCCAAAGTGTTTTATCTTGACAATTGGGTGCTTTTCTAACTTGTGTCATCTTTTGCACTCACCAGCTTGAGAGAGTGTTTAACTGTATTTGTTTGTACATGTGTGAGCATGTGTGTATGTATGAGTGTATGAGAGAATGTGTGAGTGTGTTTTTTTTAAAAAAGAGAGAGAGAATTTTTAATATTTACTTTTTAGTTTTTGGCGGACACAACATCTTTGTTTGTACATGGTGCTGAGGATCCAACCCGGGCCGCACGTATGCCAGGCGAGCGCGCTACTGCTTGAGCCACATCCCCAGCCCCTGTGAGTATGCTTTTGTGTGTGTAATGGAGAAAGTGTGTGAGAGAACAGGCATGTGGGTGTGCATGTGTGTGTGTGGTAGGTCACTCACCTGGCTTCCGTGCTAGCCCCTCTCTTGGAAAGACAGCCCAGCAAGTGAGCTGTATTCTGTGGACCCAGCCTTCTCTCTTTGCTAGGAGTTCAGAGGGGAGCCCTCTCTATTGTATTCTGGACATGGACTTGCAACACTTTTACTAGACACACCACAGGAGGGCCAGTGCCTCACTGTGGACCCTAGATGCTGTCACCTGATCCTCCCTCATGTTCCTCACTGGGTCAGTCTTTGAGATGCTTGGTTGTCTCCAAGGCTCCAGTAGAATATTTTTAGTCATGGTGCAGTTTGGCCCTAGCCTATTCTTCCAACCTCTCTCTTCCTCCTTCACATTGTAGTACTTTCCAATCACAACTGACTGCTTATTGCTAGCCATGTTAGTCAACTCGACTCCCATCACCAAATATATAAAATACCAAAGGCTGGGTGGCCTAAACAACAAGCAGTTATTTCCTCAAAGTCTGTAGGCTCAAAGTCCAAGATGGAGGTGGCAGCGCAGCTGGTTTCTGGTGAGGCCTCTCTTCCTGGCTTATGGCATCTGTACATCTGTACTGTACAGCTCTCTTTTGTGCATGAACATGGATCTTTGGAATCTTCCTATATAGGTCCTATTGGACCCACCCTTATGACTACATTTAACTTTATGGACCTCCCTAAAGACCTCCCTCTAATACAGTCACATGATAGGTTATGCTTCAAATATAAATTTGGGGGGCCAGACACAGTGATGCATACCTGTAATGCCAGTGACTAGGGAGCTTAGGCAGAAGGGTGGCAAGCTTAAGGCCAGCCACCGCAACATAGTGAGACCTTATATAAAAAAAATAAAAGAATAATCAAACAAATATGAATTTGGAAGTACACAATTCAGTCCATAGCCCTCTCTAAACACTTCACAGGCCTATGTTTGCACCAGGCTTTCATCTGAGTTGTCCTCTCCTCTCCAGTCCTCAATTTCTAGGTGCCAAAATCCAGGCTAGTTTTTATGTCCCCTGACCTTCCTGCCCCAGGTGCTGACTTTTATCCTCCATTGCACTGGAAACCTCTCAGAACCTACATTTCTGCCATTATTACTAGAATTTGTGAACTTAGGTTTGTTCTCTTCCTAGAGTGGGAGCTACCAGGAGGAAAAAAAAAAACAACACATGTCTTACCACATTTTAAGTATCACAGAAAGTTGTTCAATTAATATTTGCTGAATTTTAAAAAGATGGAGCCCTGCTACCACCAAGGATATTCATTCAAAGGAATGGAAGTGTGGTTATTCCATTAGACATTTTTAAACAAATCTTTTCAAGATTCTTTGAGTCAGTTGAAATGTCTTTGATCCACATATTAGTTTCCTAATGCCAACTATAACATATTACTACATAATTTCTTACAACAACACACATTTATTCTTTTCCAGTTCTAGAGGCCCAGTCTCACTGGGGCAAGTTGGGGACAAGACAAGTCCCCTGGAAACTCTGAGGGAGAGAAGCGGTTTCTTATCTTTTTCAGCTTTTGCAGGCCTTCTCCATTCCTTGGTTTATGAAACCTTCCTCAAATAACTTCAACCTCTGTTTCCATTGCAACCTCTTCTACCACCACCTCTACTCCTCTTGCCTTCTTCTTAGGAAGACTATTGCAATTCAACTGGACCCACCCTGCTAATCCAGGATAATCTCCTACCTCAAGATCATTAGCTAAATCATATTTGTAAAGTCTCTTTTGCCATTAATATGATATATTCACAGATTCCAGGGGTTAGGATGTGGACATCCTTGGACATCATTGCTCAGTGCCTCATTCTGACGGCACTGCTGTAGTTATCAAAATCTCAGTTACATTATGGTAGGTTCTGTTTTCAGGTATTTCTCACAATAGACTGCTAGAGGACACAGTTCTCAGACTGAGTCAGGAGCTTAAACTTGAGCCTCCAGTGTGTTTTCTGCAACACATTTTGAACTTCAGTGTTTCCATATATAAATGGTAATAAAATGCTGTTCTGAAGATTCAGGAAACTGATGTCTGTAGGAAATACACCTGAGATTTTGCTTCCTGTCATTCACTTGTCCCCTTCCTT